AGCCCCTTTTTTGTTTGAATAGAAATAATTTTTCCTTTGACCGTTTTCCTTAGCCCAGTCACCAAATGAAATTAATCACTTTTAGAGTTTCATGCACACTGAGATCATAAATAATAGAGTACCTAAAAACCATTGTCTTCTGAATTAGTAGTCTCCTGCTGTACTAGCACTAAGTATATTTTTCAGGTATATTAATCTCATTATCCTTGTCTTTAGAAAGTCTGATGGTGAGAGTAATATTAAGAATTTTAAAGCCTTAAGTTAACTATCAACCTAGACTTGCAAAACAGTAGGAGTAGTGAGTAATGCTTTTCACTGTGCATAAGACTTGTATGCTAAATTGCAAGTTACTGGTTTTCTTCCCTAACCAATTTTATGATTCCGTTATTATTATAAGGAAAAAAAGCCCTAAACAAGTGGAAATATTTGTGCATCTCAATGTTTTTCTTGGCTTTTTTGCTTCTCTGTTTGCATGAAGTAAGCTGGTCACAGACATGTAGTGTTCCTAGGGAGGTTCTCATGAAGCAGTTGGGTTTGAGCCTCGTGCCTGACATGTCTATTTTCAAGTTTCCCTAGGTTTGAGAAGTTCTAGCAAAAGTCTTTACCTGTTGAGATTTGCGCTACGCTCTTTCAGGTATGAAAGTAGCGCTAGAATTGTGAGATCCAGCTTTCTTCTTTCTCCAAGGCATCCTTTTGAGAGGCATCTTCTCTATAGGTGGAGTTTCTTAGCTGTTGTTTAGTGTTACCCACCAGGGTGGGTAAATACGACATGACTTCTGAAATACGTAAAGCACTAACACTATTTTTAGGAAACCTCTTCTTATCACAGTTACTGCATATATTTTTGTGATAACTAATAAACCATGTGCAATTTGATCTCTCAGAAGTCTAATTACTCATAATTTGTTTTGATTTTGATTAGGATGTTTTGATTTCCTGAGAATCTTTTTTTTCTTTTAATACTCCTTTTGGGTGTATTCTTCTCTTTGCAGTGGTGAATTTTGTGATTTCTGAGTAATCTTTACATGAGTTGTTCAAATGCATATGTCAAAGGGTTTTTCCCACAAAGTTCAGTGTTAGGTTGCTGACATCAGTCTAGTGGTTTATTGCTGCTGAAATGAGGTGCTGCAATCACTCCTCTCCATCTCTGCTGTATGCTGGCCTTCTAGCAACCATGTATTTAGCCAGTTTAATTTACTGAGCAGAAGACTGTTTGCTTTAGCAACCTGGTTAGTGAATTGAGTTGGCTCAGTGAAGAACCTAGCACCAGAGCTGGTGCAAGAGTTGTGACGGAGCCACAACATGCAGCTGAGAATGGCCAGGGAGCCAGAGAGCAGGACCTCCTCCTACTCTCTGGGAAGCTCTTAGATGAGTTAAGTCCTAGAGTGCAATCTCTCCAAGTATGTCACCTTTAGTAAGAGCTGATAACACTGCCTTCCTGTTGGCTCTCCCCACCTTGTTCTAGAATGGTTCTTTACGAAGGAGAGACTGTAGAATCATAGAAGACTTTAGGTTAGAAGGGACCTCTGGATGTCATCTGGTCCAGTTCCAGCGCAAATCAGGGCTAACTTCAAAGTCATCGTGAGCATCGATGTAGCTGTTGCTGTAGCATCTCCAGTGGTCTATGTCTAAGAGAGTCTGAGTTGTCATTTTTCTGAGGCATTCAGTGGCACTGGTGATTTTATAAAATTAATCAGAATTCATGAATGTGGAAAAAAAGTTGTGACTCCTCCGATTTAAAATTGATCTTTTTTCTGTCTATTAGTGGTCTAGCTTTTTAGAAGTATTTTATTACATATGCTAGATACTTGAAATTACTGATATTATTTTTTTCCATGCAAGGTGAGCATATAACATAAAATACTAAGTCCTCCTCAGAGTTGTTTTGTAGTATTTGTATGTATCACATTACTTTATGTAATAATAGACTGAACTAATCCATGCTTATGAGTTCTTGAGAAGATTTTAAATTTTCTACATAATAAATTTAAAACTTTGTCAGTGCAACATGCATGCGTGGCTCAACTAGTGAAAAAGCACCTTATAAATTCTGCAGCGTTTAAGGCAATAAAAATGAGTTCCCAACAGTCTTAGAGGGAGCCAACCTTCTTCTTCTTTCAAAAAGGGGAAGAAAACTTGAGAGTTAGGGAGGATTTAGGAAGCTGCAAAGGAATCTGATACCTTCAAAGCTGTTGCCAATTTTACTCCAAGGAGGTTAAACTGCAATGCGGTGCTGTCACTTCCACTTCATGCTACTTTGAGAATTTTTGCTGCTAAGTCATAGAGAGGATGGGATTTGAAGATCATTTGAAATATGCAGGCATGCAAGTAAAGAATGAGGGGAGAAGCAGCTACTTGTGGAATACCAGTCTTACCAAAGGAAAAAAAAAATCAAGAAATATTGAGTGATTCTTATTCTTATTTGCAGGAAAAAGTTAAACCTTCTCCCTACTACCGAAAATCAGGAAGAGTAGACAAACATAGTATTCATAATCTCTATTTTGTAAGAGGACAAGTACTTGAACTTCTTTTGGAATTGCTTTATGTAGCACTGAAATACTGTCTGAAATTTGTATTGATGAAATGAATGTGTCTTACCAGGCACTAACAGCCATTATAACTCTCTAGATATGCACCATAACTGAAGGCTTTACACAAAGGTAATTGCAAGCCTGTAGTCCCTTTTCCACAGGGATTTAGGCAGAACGAATGCAGGTGGATGCAAGTTATGCATTGCAGTGACAGCTGATTGCTGGTCCTGGTTTAAAATGATGGAGTCGGAGGATTCTCTCGCGTTGGATCACAGCCCACACTCTTGGATAGAGGAAACAGAAGGATGCTTTAGCACCCCCCCCAGTAAGACTTTGCCTGGAGTGGGGTTGGCCAAATAGGTAAATGGAAGGTAGAGCAAGAACTTGAGTTGAGGGTCCTTACCTAGGCCACGTCACTGAAGACACCAGTGCGTGTGAGGACACTGGCAGTAGTTCTAAGCCAGCGAGCTTTGCTATCACGTGCACTAATTCGCTGCACAAAGCTTTGTTGCCCATGGTGACTGCTGCTGCAGCCCAATTTTTACTTCATTACATTATGGTTGTTTACTTCACTTTCTGTTCACTTTGACTCTTTTCGTTTTATGAAATCAGACAGTGTAATCTAATTGGAAAGAGTTTTTAAGAGATCTTGAAACGCAAAGATAATGTTTTTTCCCTGTAGTGCTCTAGCTTTTTGAATTGCAGAAAGGTATTTGTTTAATTAGGTCCAGGATAATCTGCATCAAAACAGTAAGGTTCTTTAACTTTTTGCCATGTCTTAAAGATTATATATGTAAAGTGCATATTTGTAGATATTTGGGAGTACATAAATCTCACTTCTGGAATCTGTTGTATTTACCCAGATTTTCAGATATGGAGTAAGTTATTTCTAGACATTCTCCTCTTGGAATGGATGTATATTGATGCAGAGTTACCATGGACCCATGATAGTCTTGGCAGACTACGTGCAGCTGAAATGTTAGGTTTTCAGTGTATTTCAACATCTTCATTACTAACTTAATATCAAGTGATAACCCCCCTCCCCAGTATTTGTATGTGCTTCCTATATACACGTGCTCATATCCTCTTACCCCTTTGACATTGAAAATAAGAACCAACATCCATTTTGTATCGAATTTGGTACAAATGTAAACTGCAGAGTTACAAATGCTGTAAAAATGAGTGTTATAGTGGAAACACTGGCAGAATCTTTGTAATAATGCTATTTTCCTTGTGCCAGTAAAATAAAAAGCAAAGTTATTTGGGAATCCATTAACACATGTCTTTCAGAATAAGAAAGAAAATCATACAAACAAACATGGGATAGGTGAAAAGTACCTTTTGTTGCATAAAGATGGATGTTTTTACATGTAAATTGCTAGAATGGTAATAAGAGAACAAACAAGAGGCTTATCCTTGAATCTTGTTTTTTAAAAATACTCTGATGTTTTCCTGAGCCATGTTAACCAGTCTGTGTACAATAGCTGGGCCAGATTTCTGTTAGAATTCCAATGTACATGAATATTAACAAGAAACCTGTTAAACAGAGGCCCTTTAGTCACTTTTATTTGAATTTCAAGTCAGTCAATTGGCAGAACAAAACACAAGAATGAAAGTATTTTTAAGCCTGAGATGGTATTTTGCATTTTGGTGATTTGTTTGTTTGCTTTTTAAGCATTAATTTTCAGTTTATTATCTTTGGGTTATTTTAAGCATTAGTTTTATTATCTTCATTTTTTATTTGATAGAAGTCTAGTCCTTTAAATAGGTCAAGAGCCAGGTAGCTGTAAAATATTTCAATATGAAGAGGTAAAATGAATGTAAGAATTGTATTCAGAAGTAATTAGTCTCTTCTTTCCTTTCACAGGGAAATTGCTTTTACTAGGCAACTTCATGAAAAAGCTCCTGATCTCTGTTTTTATTACATGGGTTTCTACATTCATTCATGCCCCAAAATGAGATACAAGGTAAAGTGTGTTTTTACTTATTTCCTTAGTGTAGTATTATTCACAGCATTTGACAGTGTTCATAGTGATATAATATTTTGTAACTGTCATTTTGGATTTTAATGCAGACTTTATACGGTTAAATTTGAAAGTTGGTTACTATTTAACTAGGCTTAGGATTTTTTTTTTTTTAAATTTAGCTGCATGTGGTATTTATTACAAGTTGGCTTAAAAGCAGTTCACATGGAGAGGTTTTCAAGGCTGTCAGATAATGGTTTGTCGTTTGGTTACCTGCCTATCTCATGTTTACAGTATATCTTCCAGTAGACTAAAATTCTCCCTTTTTTAGGTTTGCATATTTGTGGAACTGTTGCTTAGTGACTGTAGGCAGTGATAACATGCTTTCGTGGGCTTGGCTGTACTTGGGTTTTTCCTCTTTGTTTTTTGTTAGAGATAGAGGACTTGCTCTGCTGATGAAACCAGTGAGAAACTAGGTTAGCAGCAATTTTGAGCCAGGTAGCAGATTTTTGAGGTCAGGAGAATCCACAGAACATTTAGAATAACCAGTCTGTCACCAAACCTCCTTTGTAACCCCTGTTACCTTCAACTTTGTTTAGACCTGAGTGCCTAAGGGTATCTCTCTTCTGTGTTTTTTAGATCTTGTGAATGTGGTATCTTTTCTTTGTAAATATATGATTGCTTTCTGAATATTATGATACAATTTCAGAGTACTGAATATTGATAGAAATTTGCTGAACATTTACATGTAACCAAATACATCTGTTAATCATGTGGAAAGATACAAAGCTCATGAAATCTAGAGTAAGAGGTGCAGTGTTTTCTTTCCTTAAAGTGTGCTAAAAATGTGCAGTGTTTTCAGCTAGTTTTCAAATAGCCAAAAAATTGTGAGGCTCCCTGCAGTGATGGTTGTGAAGGAAAAAACATTTCAGCTTTACTGTGGCCTGCGCTACAGGTGACCATGATGATTCAGTCTTCTGAAAATAACAAATAACAAATCCCTCCCTCTCCTTTTGTTAGAAGATGTTTGTCTGTCTTCCCCACCTCCCTGCCCCTTGCCAGCTTGCGTTTATCATCTACATCTGCTGGCCAAACAAAGAGAATATTAAGTTTGAGGGAAGCAAATGGGTGAGTTGGAAAACACTGCCTCTGTCACCTCAATCGTCCTAAAGGCTGTCACATCACCAGTTTGAACCACAGGTTCTGATTACTTGCTCTGCTCTTTGGAGATACTTGAAAGTTTGGGATGATTTGTTCATGTTGAGACACTGCAATTCAGCATCCCTTGTCTATTCTACAACCTACATAGTTCAAGACATGTAAAAAGAATGCATTTAGTCTACTAGGACATTTCAGAAAAGAAACAAATCTGACTATAATGGCAGAAGGAGTCCCAGTTTTGAAGATATCATTTGCTAAGAAACTTTGGGTTCAGCTGCTTGTAGTAAGTTTTAATAAAAATGTGAACTTTGTATACATGGATTAAACAAAGCCCATACATGAGTCAGTTTATTAAAGTAGCCAGCAAACTATTAAAATATGAAGATTAAATGATATAAAACTGGGAGCCAACCTCAGTAGCCACTATACATTTGTATTATTTATCATAATGTGGTATCTATTCTGTTGGGCCTGTGCTGTTATTTGAAAATGATTGCATCAAGAATATAAGATTCTCATGATGCATCTAGTTTTCATTCTCAAATAATGGCAATTGAATAAAATGTAGTGGGAGTATTATAATTGTGTTTTTCACAAAAGCTCCTTTTCTTCCCTTGCTTAGACTTAATGAGTATCTGATTTGAGTGTGATTTGGTAGAATATACATTTTAGTCTTCCAGAAACCTGTACATGTCAATGTGCTTAGATAATTTAGCGTGGCCCAGTATGAGAATTACCAGGACAGGGGGTGGGGAGAAGAAGAAAGCCTGTACATATACATTTAGAACACACACACCAGCAGGTAAGTAATGCTCTGTGTTGAGAGAGTAATAATTTAATGAATTAATTGCAAGTGGGTTTATTTTATTTTATATTTCTTTTCCTGTGTATATTTGTTTTGGAAGTGGCCAAATGTAATGCAATTGAAAATCAGGTTGACATTAATTCTGTAGTTCCGCTTTACCCTCACTGAAACAGTACACTGGAAACAAATTTTAAAACTAAGCTTTAAAACATGTCTGGATAATGCTACTACTCTTGTGAAGCGATTGGTAGTGGTAAAATAGGGTGGGTGATTACTGACTTTGCAGATTAAGTACTTTCAGTAATGCCTGCTTGACTTAGAGGCATTATATGTCGAAGACTTTGCTTTATTCCGGTTTAATAGAGATGTTAGAGGCTCCCTTCCCTTAATGATATTAGTGTGGAAGAATGACAGGCTGTAGGTAACTGTTGTTAAACTGATGTCAGGTAAGCAGATTAAATGAAGGGAAGAAAAGGAAGGAGCTGAAGAGCTAGCCACTGGTTTTTATCCTCTGCTTGTAATTTTCTTTGCAAATCATTTGTCCTAGGATGTTTAGAAATGGAGGCGAGGCACAGCATCGCTGCTTTATATAAGCAGTGTCTTATGAAGAGCACATATATGCTATACTCATTTACAGTGAAGTCGCAGGATTTTGGAAACCTTTGAAAATTTTCCTTCTTTAGTCACAGATTGTGAGCAGTGGAAGTGCCTAAGCTGACGTTTGTATTTGATTTTTGATGGAAACGCAGTACTAGTGGTTTGTACTGTACAGCTGTCTGTCTT